AAAAAACTAAATTAAATATCTGAATTTATCCTTCAACACAGCCTGAACTATCTTAGGCAACTTTAAGTAGTCTTCAGAAATAGTTCTCCAGGCTTCTTGAAGGACATTCAAAGTTCTTCTTTGTACGTTCGGTACCTTTACACGATCCAAGTGACTAACTGCTTAATAAAATCCACAACACTACAAACCATGACACAGCCTCCAGCATATTTTAGTGTTGTTTAGTAATGTTTTAGCATGATTCAGTGAACAGTTGATGGATCAACTGAAGGACCAAATGCTTCTCTGACGTCTTTGCTGTTTTTTCTCCCTTTTCTTAAGGATACTGTTCATCTCTCTTATAACCTATCTTAAAAATCTGTCTCTTTTGAAGAAAAATACACAGAAATGAGGGTACTTCAAGACTTTTGCACAATACTGTGTATTTGTGTTGTTTTAGTTAGATTAGCCTGGCTTAGCACAAAACCACAGACACATGTTCATGTGACCAATGGAAGGTCCAAAACTAAATAAATAAGGAAATAAAAATTGTAGAATTTCAGCTCTCAGATGCTAGTTTGACAAAAAAAAACCCCGAAAAAAATCAAAAATAATACAGGAAGAACTGGAGTTATATTGTACCTCTGTGTGTGTGTGTTTCTGAACTGTGTCCTCTGAAGAGATGAAGGGTTTTCTTATGACACTAAAAAAGCAGCTAAGCTCCTGCAGGCTATTTGTGACTCATTCAAAGCCTTTTTTCCTCAGTCAGATGCCACATAATCAGCTGATTGCCCTATTCATGGACACCGTCACCTCCAGTAAGCCACAGTCCAAAAATCTTTCTAGAGACGGGAAGCAAAGGCAGGGAAAAGTGTACTTTGGAGCTGATGTCAGTATTTCATGTAAACTTGTAAGTAATTTACTGAAAAGATGCATTTTTTAAACCATAAATGAGCAAATGAGTCATTGAAATGACATCACATTTCTCACAGTCAGTAAGAGAATGAAAAACAATAACTTGTATGGGAGTCATGATGTTCTCACAACAATAAGTGTGACAAGAAAAGGAGGCACTGAGCATCTGGTAGCTCGAAGCCGTGTGTTGCTTTGTTCTGGTGAGTAAATCTAAAAATTAACATAACTACACATCTAAACATATTCTATATAGAGAAAAATACAATATGGGGTAAAACACAACAGCAGTAGAAACTGAAAGTACCGAATCAGCAGTAAGTAACTGGGACTCAAATGCCTGAAAGTGACCATATTATGCCTACTTTTTTATTTTTATTACTTGGCTCCTCTTTCAGTTTCGGTGTTATTATACATCCCCAGGCAGACAGCAGCCTGGGACATCGGGACTCATCAGTGACTCAGAGTGTGCAGGATATCAGTGCCAACCTGGAGCCACCAGAGAGTGCTAATTGTGTCTGTTTGGACTCCAATGCATGACTCTGGGAAATGAAACAGCACAAACCAGTTCCTGTCACTGATTAGTATATTCTTTGGCTGCCTACACGGGACTGGTTGGTATTTCTGATCTTAAGTTTGCTCAGCAGTGAAAAAAAAGTAGATTTGACTACTTTATCCCAAACAACATACAGAAATGTGAAATATTTGCGGTGATAATTAGAGTAAAATGTATTTTGGGGGTATTTATTGTGTCTAATGATGGTGTATGCTCAGTGCTGCAGAATGAATGTTTAAGAACAGATGGATAAGGTGTAGTAGACCATAATCTACATGCTCTAATAACTTAGTTAGTAGAGCATGTAGATCCACATGGTGTCGGCAGAATTACATAAACTGTGAGAGCCTAACAGCCTAAATAAACCATTTTGGGTCACTCTTCTGGCCTCCACACTTATTTGTTAATTATAATCGAGTGCACTAAAACGATGTTCTGTGTGTGCTCTGAGGGTTTATTCAGCTCAGATAAGCATGTGTAGCCTTACTCATCTGGCGCATCAGGTTAACGTGACCTTCAAGGTGGTTATCTGGGGCTTTGTAGCAGGATAAAACTTGAGTAAACCTGATTTAACTTTGGTCGGATAATGTTTCTTACATTTAATACAATCTAAGGGGACACTTTGTTAGGTACACCTTGTTTCTGCCACACTGGCCCAGTGAGCTGCGTAAATTTTTGTGGTACAGTGAACTGACTGTAATGTTCAAAAACCCAGTTTGAGATGATTTAGGTTTGTGACGCGATGCTCTTTGTGGCTGGAAGCCACCATCAGAAGACGGGTCATAAAGAGATGGACATGGTCAGCAACCATACTCAGGTAAAGTGTGGCATTTAAATGATACTCAGCTGGTAATAAAGAGCAAAAAGCATGTCAAGAAAATATCTCCCACACCATCACACCACCAGCAGCCTGAACTGTTGATACAAGGCAGGCTGGATCCACACTTTAATGCTGTTTATGTCAAAATTATGAACCCACAATCTGAATGTTACAGCAGAAATCAAGCTTCATGACACCAGGCAATGTTTGTCCTTCTAATTTAGGCAAGTGCATACAAATTGTAGCCTCAGCTTACCTGTTTTTAGTTCTTCTGCTGCTGTATCCCATCTCTCTCAGAGTTTGGCATTTTGTGCATCCAGAGATGATCTTCTGCACACCTTGATTGTAATGAGTGATGATCTGAATCACTGTTACTTTCCTATCAGCAATATACAGTGTGGTCATTCGTCTCTGATCCTGGCATCTACCAAGCTCTTTTACCCAGACGACTGCCGCTCAATGGTTATTTTCTCTTCTTCTGACCATTCTCTATAAACCCTAGAGATGTTTGTGTGGGAAAAACCCAGTAACACTCAGAGCAGCCTATCTTACACTATCAACAATACCAAATTCAAAGTCACTTAAGTCAACGTTTTTATGCTCAGTTTAAACTTCAACATGTGGTCAACATTCCTAAAGGCACTGAACTGTTTCCATGTGATCATCTGATTAAATATTTGTGTTAACATGCAGATGAACAGTTCTACCTTACAAAGTGGATGTGAGTGCACAGTGGAGGGGAGAACATAAAATAATGTGAAAGTAATATTAATATTGCATCCATTTGATTTCAGTAATAATGTGCATTCCTGATCTTTCATAACGCTTTTATGAAAGATCCAGTTATCCCTGGATGTCTGACATCAGCACAGACACGAAGTTTTCCTTTCAGAGCACTGTGTGTGAGTGTGAGTGTGTGTGTGTGTGTGTGTGTGTGTGCGGACTGCCTGGCTGCATCTTACGTCAAACAATCGAGACAGACATCCAAACACATCGTGAACCTTTTGCCTCAGATCATACTCAGAAACTGAACAAATTCATCTGAACTATTGATTATCTCATTTAGCTGCGTTGCCGAATGAGGAAGGATGACGACAACTTATATGGATGCATAAAGGTCTATAAAAGTCCTGTTCTATGAATCACTGTGCTTGTATGGAGCACATTAGGGCTGATGTGCAGGAAAAGAACAATATTTTCAGCCCTTGCAATAACTTGTTAAATGTGAGAGCTCCCCCTATTGATGAAATCCAAGATTACAATAAAAGAAAAAAACAGATCAGCAGCTGTAATTGAGTAAAAACCAGCCTATCTGTGTACAGGAAAAAAGCAGTCTGAGAATAATCACCGGACACAACATGCTTGCACATCATGTCGAACACTACTCCACGCGGTGCAGCATGCAGGGAGCATCAGCGTGTGAATGTTTGTGCCCTGAGGTTGATGCAGGGTGGAGAGGCTAAAGCAAAGTTGCCATGGAAACTATTGTATTTCCCTCCAGTGCCATTGGTACGGCTGACATGAGCATGTATCTGCTATTTCCGTCATTATTCAACACCTCAGCGCAGTCACAGGACACACACACACACACAGGGGAGCTGAGGAGCAGCGTATTAACAAACACAAAGGTTCTTCTATGTTCGACTCTTAAAAATATCACAGTAGTATTGCTATCATCACATCTTGGGCTATTATACATAAAACTCTCAGGGCATTGTTGATCATTTTGTTCCTTAGTCCCCATGAACATTGTTTGCCGATGAAACTAATTTCAAGGTGAGAAAATATGATACTTATCATCGTTTTCTCGCTGCACGCTCATGAAACTAGGTCATTAAACTGTACCCACAAATTCAACCCAACATGAGTGCAAAGACTTTCCAGTTTAAAGAACATGGCAAATATTACTGATGTGAGATCTAAAAGAACAAAACACAAATACACAAGCATAAGCCAAGTTTAGTCAAGCAATTACTTATTTTCCAGACGCATGTAGCAATGTCTTTATTCTCTTCACTAAGCAGAAGTTTCCATTTTGTCTTGTGCGTTGCGTCTGTTAAAAGTTAAACTGCTAAAAAAACTTTCTGGGCTCTCGGACATTTTAATTATTCAACATCTGATGTTGTAATTGCTCTTGTGACACTTGCACTTAATTCCATTACTATTTAATTGCTTTTCTTGTGCAAAATCTCACAATCAGTAGCATTCAGAATGATAATAAATACAATTAAAAAACATTACAGAATGTTAAATCTTCTTTTTTTTAAAAAACCCCCAACTAATTATAATATTATTTATATAATATGATGACATTAAACACTTCACACCCACAACGAATGCACCAGTGTGTATTGCATGGGCTGGGCTCTTGTAAATGTTAATCTCACCTCATTAACTTTAACCACTGGAATTCTTTTCTTTTCTACAAATCAATAATCCAGCTTTGTGAGAGGGATTTTGCCAGATTGAGCATCGAGGGGGATTTTGGTAAACTAAGCATAAGGAGAAAGAATCAGAGAAATCCTGGATGAAGTGATTTTTCCGATTTGCAATTTTTTGGATGCTCCCGTGCATATCAGATGGTCCTGATGTGACCTGCAGCGGGCCTGTCATGATAATCAAAATAAGAACCCCAAGTCCATGTGGATCTTGTGCCAGTGAGGCACTAAGACCCAGTGGAGGGGAGGGAAGGCGGGTGCCCCCCCCCGCTGCCTGTCTGCGCTACACGAATCTGCAGTTTCTTTGGTTGCATGCTGGAGATAGCACGTGTGTGTGTGTGTGTGTGCAAGAGTGTGGGGAGAGTGTGTGAGTGTGAGAGACAGAGCCCCTGCACTCTTTTTTTCCCCTTCCATCTCAACCTTCTGCTTCTGCTCTGTCTCTCCACCTCCAATCTTGCTGCACGAGATCTAAGAGGACGGAGGTGTGCGTTGTGTTTTTGAAGGGAAGAGGAGGGGGAGTGGGGGTGGTCAGGATGATGACGAGATGAAAGGGGCCAGGTGAGGAGGAGACACAGGAGTGCCCCTTTCCTCTTCCCCCCTTCTCCTTCTCTCTCTCTCTTGCGCTCGCTTCCTCTCTCTCTCTCTGTGACGTGGTGTGTGTGCGTGTTTGCTGTGTGTGTGTGTGAGAGAGAGAGTGAAACAGGTCGGCTATGCTTCAGCAGACTGGACTGTGAACCTGCACAGGAGGAAGCAGCCCTTTCCAGATTGAGGTATGTCACTGAATTGTCATCACACGCATTTCCAGAATACCTGCGCCACGTGGGGAGATTTGTGATTGAGTGAAAGACGGGATGCTGAAGGCGGTAGAAACTGACTCAAGGGGCAGCGTATTCTCTCATCAAATCACACATTACGTTAACGTATCCACATTAAAGGACAAGGACGTGTGAGGATAGATGTCTGGTCTCATTTAAAACCCTGTTTTTCGCTTGCATGTTCCTGCTGAGAAGTGAAAGTGCTTTGTAATGAAAAAGGACACTTGAACAACAGGCTTGTTTTCTGCTCACGGTAAACACAGTGTCATGTGCATATGATAGGGTCATATGGTTTTCAGTCAGCAGTTAGAGAGATTTCGCACAACCTTAGGCTGAAGCTTTGTATGAATTTTGTGCAGCTCTTAAAGCAACATAAACTGGGCAAGTGTGAGTTGAACGTCGCACAACAGCTTGTGCTGGTTTAGAGTCCTCGAATCTTTCTCCAGTTTTTGCCAGTAAAACTTTCATAAAGATTAAAGATCCTTTGAGAGTTTATTCCACTTCACTTTGGAGAGTTACACTGATGATAAATGTTTCCATAAAGCAATCAGGGCTGATTAGACTAAGACCCTCCAGAAGACTGCTCCACGCTTGTCTCTGCATCACAGATGAGCTGCTTTTTAAAAAAAAATTCAGCTGAAGGTGACTCTTTCCCTTTGACCGATTCAGCAAAGGCCACCTACTTATGCTTCTGTGTCTGACTGGTGGCTGTTGTGCTCGATGTGCATACGTGGGCAGGAAAAGAAGAGGTGCTTTGCAGGGATGTCACACTTGTGAAATGGAAAACTTGCACCTGCAGCTGTGCAGCATATGGAAATGTACCGAAGGCTTTGTGCTCGTTCCACGGCTTTTATAGCGCGTGGGGTTCAGCGCAGGTGAGGTTGCGACAGTAAACAGTGCAGGATCTACTCCAGTAGCAAACACTAATACGGACAGCTGAAGGTGCTCTTCTTTACTTCACATCCCTTTTAGGCAATTTTAAAATGCATACTTTTTCACTCAGAAACACATTTAATACATTACTGTTAAAATACAGCGTAGATAATTAAGAAACTGTTCAGAAGTCCTATCAGAACTTTTTTATAAAAAGAAAGTAAAACAAACACTTTGTTTTACATGTCAGGATTGCACTCGATGATCTTTTCGACCCAGCGGTGATCTGTGAGTTTTGCAGATTATTTTCTATTTCAGTTTAGATCTTCTGTCAGTTAAGGAGGGCATACGGTTTACTCTGTGCTTTGAGCCTCTCCCTGGGGTTTCAGCTGCCCTGAAAAGACACATCTGATGATTCAAAAACTCAAATATGTAGTAAATGGTGACTTATGGTTATATGCTAGGCTACAAGCAGGACTGGATCAAATCTGATAGGTTTACATTTAAGTAGAAGAGCTAAAATTAATCAACTTGAAATTAGAAAAGTTACAGAGCAAAAAAAAAAAAGGGAAAAAGTGATTTTTTTAGGATATTAAAATCAAATGATCAAATTCTATAACTACTGCCTTTTAATCTATAATTTTGCAATTTTGTAATCACTTATCAACTGCACACGTTTTATCCACTGAAAGTCAAGAGAGGATGCTTCAAAAAATCTTCTGTGTTATACAAAAGAAAATAAATCAAATGTAATATTTGTTGTGACCACCAGTTAAAACAGCAGTTCTCCTCAGCATATTTAAATCTGGCCCTTTGTTTAGGGTTAATTTTACATTTACATTGCACATTACATTGACCAATCAGATGCCTCAGTGATATCATTGCATGATTTTTCGTTTGTATAGAATATTATTTACCTTTTAAATTAGTCTCAGACAACTAGTTTTAACTTTTTTCATTCATTGTGGCAAGATGAGTCTCAAATGTTTATCTTCAGTAATACCTGACTGAGCTGGACTTTCTATTTTGTTTCAGATCTTTTGTGGTGTTGTTAGAAAGAGGACGTCTTCCTTAAGAGTTCTGTTACGCCCGTGTTTGATCATCTGCTGAGCTTTGGGCCAAGGTCTATGGAGGTGAGGACCTGTAGGGTTCAAGCTGCCATGACAGAAACCACTGCCTGAGCTTCTCAGCGATACTCTACGAAAGGGGAGGATGGGTGATGGGCCCGTGAAATTCAGCGGACTGTCTCCTCTTTATCCCATCCTCTCATGGAGCGTCCTGTCACACCAAGCCCCTCCTGGAACACTTCTTTCTCCCTGTTTCCACCCTCACTGCAGCCAAACATCTCTAATGTCACCTCACCCACGACGAGCATCCCAGGTGGGATAGATTTGAATCGCTCCTTGGCACTGTGTGCTATGCTCATTATGAACATGCTTGCAGTGGTGGGCAACTTGGCTGTGATCATTGTCATCACCAAAACGCCGCAGCTGCGTAAGTTTGCCTTCGTGTTCCACCTCTGTCTGGTGGATCTGGTGGCAGCGCTGGTGTTGATGCCTCTGGGGATGCTGTCAGATCAAATCCTGGTGGACGAAGCACTGTGTCGGAGCTACCTCTGCTTGAGTGTATGTCTAGTGAGCGCTGTCATCCTCACCATATGTGCGATCAATGTGGAGCGCTATTACTACATTGTCCACCCCATGCGTCACGAGGTAAAGATGACAGTGGGGGTGGTGGTGATGGTACTAATAGGAATCTGGATTAAAGCTGTTGTCATGTCAGTACTTCCACTCCTGGGCCGGCTGCTCCAGGGAAACCAGGGTCTGGGGGCTTCTTCACTCCTCGTTCCCACTCAGAGTCACTGCTCCCTCCACTGGACAGGTGGCGGGATCACACGCCTGGTCTTCATGGTTTTCTTTACAGTCATCTATTTTCTGTGCCCTATGCTGATCATACTGGTGGTCTACTGCAACATGTTTAAGGTGGCACGAGTAGCAGCCATGCAGCACGGCCCCCTCCCCACTTGGATGGACACTCCAAGACAACGATCCGAGTCTGTGAGCAGCCATTCAACCATGGCGGCCAGCCTCGGAGGAACTGGTTCCCGCACCACCCCTCAAAGGACCTTCAGTGGGGGGAAGGCTGCAGTGGTTCTGGTGGCGGTGGGAGGCCAGTTCTTCTGCTGCTGGCTGCCATATTTTTCGTTCCACCTTTATTCGGCTGTAGTGTCTACCTCCCCTGCTTCATTAGCCCAGCTGGAGGATGTGGTGACATGGATTGGCTACTTCTGCTTCACATCCAACCCCTTCTTCTACGGTTGCCTGAACCGTCAGATCCGCGAGGAGCTGAGCCGCCACTTGGCTTGCCTTTTCAAGCGCGCTGGGCCCAGAGAAGGAGAGCAGCTGCCCAGCCGAGAGGCCTCTATTGAGGAAAACTTTTTGCAGTTCCTTCAGGGCACTGGATGCAATCTGGAGCCCTGCAACTCTCACAGCAGAGCCAGCCTAGAGTTGCCAGAGACTGAGGATCTTCAGGAATCAGCTGTTCAGCAGCATATGCCAGCTGACTTCCACATCCCAGGGCAGATCCTTGAGGAAACCTCAGAGTTCATACAGCAGCAACAGCTGAACAATGAGCTCCATGTATCAGAGAACTGCTTCAAAACTGTACCAGAGCTGTAGCCGACTCATGTACTCACTCTTCTGCCATACAATAAGCCAATAAATATATTTAGTTTTCTTCATATTTTTTACAATTTGTTGAATTAATACATCTCTAGCTGATGCTACAAAGTGCTTTAAAGCAAAGTGAACTGTAAACACGGTATCTTCTTGGAAGAATTTAAGTTATGTAGCTTTTTTAGTGAAAGACAGACTTCAATATATCTTGTGCTTCATTTTACTTTTAGCCCAACAGTCAGATGCACTGTAGCATCACATGCTTTAAGAGCCATACGGTGTGAGGCCGCTTCTGTGTCACATCAGTGGACAAACACCGAGCCCTTGTTGTGCTTATCATAGTCCAGTGAAGTGACAAATGTCACATAAACATAAGAAGTGTGGAAACTTTGTCAAAGCAATGTTCATAGTTGTCAGTGTTTTTATTACGCACTGTTAGAGCCATTCAAAAGAACTTTTCGCAGAGTGTTTAGTTTTGATATGCATTCATTTAAATGTGGATTCCCCGCTGAATATGCAAAGACAATGCACCATACAAAGTTCATCATATCAGCCCCTCTGCCCTGCCATCTGCATTTTCGCCCTCCTGGTTATTGTTTAAAATGAATTCACCAAGAGATGAAAATTTTCTCTCATCATTGTGTATTCAGAGCAATCAGTTCAAGGTTTTACTGCTGGGTCTCTAAACCAAACAGACACTTTATAACCAATTTAACCAACAAACACTTTCATCATTAAAAGACAGCGCACCGCCCCGGGCACTCGTACGTGCACCGACAAAGTGTTTGCAGAACAGCCCGTTTGTTTAAGTAAAAGATTCTTAGTTCCTGTAGCTGTCACTGCCAGTTTGTTTAGTGAGTAAAGAATCTGTTTTTATCATGTATTTATTCCACTTGCACATCTCATTACACCAAGGAATTAATGCAAAAATGTTCCTCCATATAGAGTTTAAAATATTCATCGCGCTGAACAGGGATCATTTCACAGCTGTTACTGCTGCTGGTATTTATAATAAACAGGCTGACAGAGTATTTTTAACCATTTTCCAGGAACGTTATTATCGTGTTTATCTGTTCTTAGTCTTGTGATTATCACCTCCTCACCAAAATCATCTCACATTGGCAGACTCGTGATTGCAACCCCTCCTCCTCCTCCCCAGCCCCCCCACTCAAAGAATTGCTTTAATTGTTTCGATAGAGGTGGCGTTAAGGATTTAGGCTGTAAAGAAGGAAAAACAAAAAACTGACTACAGCATTAAAACAGCTGAAATACGGCTCGGGATGAACAGATTCGCACACCAGTACTAATTACCCTGTAATGTCTGCACTGTTTACAGGTAAACACAAGGAGCTGTGTGAGTGCTCTCGTGTTTGTGCAATAAACAACCAGGGCTTGTTGTGGCTACATAGAGCACAGAGGTGTGGCAATGCTTACACATGGAAAGCTTTGCCTTTGGCCTCATTCAAACGACAGATGGAAGACACTGGCGATACTTTTTCTGATCTCAGGTGGAATACAAACTGTTTGCACAAGTCACACGAGAAGTGACAAACGTTCCAAAGACAAATTAGAAGGCACAAGTCTCTTGCTAAACACTTTCTTTCTTTCTTTTTCTTTTTTAAATACTTCCTATCTATTGCTGCCTTCATCTATTCTGGACTGCCTCATACCGGACGGACGGCAATGATCACAAGACACTAAACACAAGGCGCGCAGGAGAAGGTTCATAGCTTGCTGGGAGTCAGAACAAAAAAAGGTCTCTTTGTCAGGGAAAGGCATAATGTTCTTTAACTATCTTGCGATATGACTGTGCTGCATGTTGTTTTTCAGGCAGGGTTGCCCCATCAGCTTCTCTTAAAAAGAGCCCTACCTTAAACTTAGCAGCGACGAGCGAGTGACATACAATCACTGGCATGATGCTCAGATTTCTTCTGTGTTTATTTATTTTTTAATAATTTATTAACAGCTGATCGACTGCTAAAACCTTCCAAATGCAAAACTATTACACAATTTATTTATTTAAAAAAAATAATTTAAAACTGACTCGATTTATTTCACTTGCACTGCTGAACGGGGGTTTAATCTCTTTGGATTGTCTCTGTTTTTTTTCTGTGGAGTATTACTTTATTATTTTTATGATACAATGCTGTAATAACTTCAGTGATATTTCCCACAGTCTGGGGTCATTACAAAACCCCTTATACCGAGAGAACATCAATCCAACGCTCAATCATCTGGTTTCCATTACTCTAGCGGCAAAATCGCCCAGACCAATCTCATTAAATGCTTTAAGCTGTCTTTCTGTGACCATCTGTTGATTGCGAGGACAGAGAAATCACCTGGTCTGAAGGTGAACTGCAGATAATATTCTTACCTTTGGGAGAATTCTGGACATCATTAAACAGAGTTTTGTTTGTACTGTAAATCATCAGTTCCTCTGTGTTTCTCTTTTTTGTACTTCAGCTGCAAAGGCAGCTCCTGTTCTTAATTCTTAAGATTTTGTTTGTCTCCATGTTAAGATTTTGCTGTGTACCTCCCTCCCTCAACTGAAATCATTAAAGATGCAGCAAGAAGATTAACTTGAGTGTTGCTGGTTGAATTTGTAGTTGTAGACATTTTTTTTTCCAGATCAATAACTGCATCAATCGCATGAGCAACCCCATCAATCATCTCCTTTCTCTCGTGCCCTCTAGGCACCTCCTGCTCTTTACCTCTGCGTGTGTCCTTGCACACACGTGTATGTGTGTGTGTGATGTAGGTAGGGGGTGAAATGAAACAGTAGGACAGGATGAAAGAGGAGTGACATTTTGAGTAAGGTGGGATGCTGCTATCCCTCAACAAAACACTGCCCCCATGCTAGACTTTTATCACAAATGTAGCAAAACCTGCGAGCTAGTAAGACAACACAGCCATATTGCATCATACACACAACAGACCTCATTCTCCTCATGTCATTTACCAAAAGACACTCTCTCAATTTGGCATCTGTTTAAGCTGCAGCATCCCTCTGACATGTCAGTACTGCAGCAGCTGACCTGTACAGCTGACCCCTCCACCACCCCAACATCCACCTGCAGGATTTAGGAGGTCACAGTTAGATCCACTATTTGCTCTAGAAAGACAGAGTTGTTTGCAGCTTCACCTCTGTACACCACTGCAGTGGTGCAGAATTTCAGCTTAAAATCAGTGGATTTTACAAAGACCTTGCATGAGCTGTTGAGGAATTGCAGCCATTCTTATGCTAAGTCCCACATTTTCAGAGGCTCAAATTTAACCGGACAGTTGACTGACAGGTACTTTCATGCTCAGATGAAGGCTGTTCCCTTGTTATTTCATGCCAAATGGAGCAGGCATAACATCTGAAGTTGATTCAAAGTGTTTACTTTGTTTTGTTTTTTATAGCTGTCACTTTAATGTTAATTATGAGACCTAAAGAGTGAAGGAAATCATCATTAGGCTGAAAACCCCCCAGAACACCATCAGAGAGACAGCAAAAACCTACAATGTGATGCATTGTTAAAAAGAATGAATGCACTGATCAGCGTAGCAACACTAAATAGCCTGAAAGACCACAGAAGATAGCTAAAGTGCATTAGGCCAAAATTCTTTTCATTGTTTAAGAAAAATAGCTTCTCAATTTCTAACCATGTCAAGACGACACTCGCGGAGGTTGGGGTATCATTGTCAAGGTCTACAATCAAGAAATGCCTTCATGAATGTAAATGCAGAGGGTTTACACTGAAGACCAGAAAAACCAGGTGAGACTAGAAGACATCTAAAAGCACTCACACTCTCTGCTCAGATACATCCAAATGCCACAAAACTGATCAGACAGCGCTTCACGGTGCAAATGGATAATGTACCCAAAACAAACTGCAAAAGCAACTGAAGAGTTTTTCAAGGCAAAGAAATGGGATATTCTTCCATGGCCGAGTGAGTCACCTGATCTCTGATGGGGATTGTGTATAAAATGTCTGTAATTCCTGATAAGTTAATGCAAAGCTTTTGTTAAAAACCTTGAATTAAAGCTGAAAAATCTGCTCTTCAGTCTTAATGGTTTAATCTATAATCCACCGTCATTGTCTCTTTGTCCAACAAATTAAGGACCCAACTGTATTTAACTTATACTTTCCATTATCTATGTGTAACAATTTTTGGGGGGAGTGATAGTTTTGGAGTCTAGAGGCCAGCACAAACTATATTCTGCTGCTGTGATGAAATCATTTAATTTGTGAACTTTCTGACTGAACTTGGGGTTCTGCATTGACAGCCTTATCATTAAATGCACAAATTTCACAAATAATGTGAATACGAATAAGAATAGATAAGAATAAGAATAATTTATTCTAACAAGGGGTAAAGACTAAGTCATTGCAGCAGCCCATGCAAAACATGCATGTTTACTCAAGTTATAATTATTTTTATTTAAAATAAATTAATATATATATACACATATTAAACTAAAACTAAAGCCACTACTATGTTTTAGTAATGTTTAATTGCTTTGTGTATGGACTATACAACACCGTAGCTCGTAAGGTAGCAGGGGACTTAGTTCCCCTCTTTGTTTATTGTTATCGTAAGTTTATATGTTAATAGGCCACATGCAGCACTAGTTACTGTAAGCTAATTTCTTTTTCATATGCAAATACATATCAGCATATCCCCTTTCTGTATTCACCAGATACATCAAAACACAGAGGGCACAAGCATCATCTGAAGCTCCACCATAGCTTTCTGATTATTTTAATTTTCATACACTCTCCTGTGCTGCACCCCATTGGACAGAGAGACTCATAGCTTTAATGTCGAGCAGCAACGGGAGCCTCCTGCAGTGCACAGAAACAGTTCAAACAGCCTGACCTTTCGATAGGCTACAACACGCCCAGTGAAAGTGCCCAAGGACTGATGCCAACATCAAGTCAATGTGACATGATGGCAGCATCCCACACCTGCACCCAGTGGCCCACTGTCAGTGGGTGTAGTAACGAATTGCCTCTTATAAACCAAACATTTAAACCGAGGCCTACGAGCCTCTAAGCTCTGACAAACAGGCTCACAGCTACTAAAAAACAAAGTGTAGGTCAAACAAGAGCTCACACGAATTTCTCACTTACTTCCCAATCCTGACTTCCCTGAAATCAGCTGTTGCCCTGGTAACCTGTGCTGATGACAGTGGTGTGAAGTTTGTTTGGCAGCAGGAGCTGGGGGAAAACGATATTTTATAAAAGGTTATTGCATCATTTATAAAAAACAAAACAAAACAACCAAACATTAAATTGTCCCTCTTAAAATACATGTCACATATAAAATTATTCTTAGAATGGCACCTATGTTTTTTTTAATAGTCTTTTAAAAAGATGGTAGATATAAAATTCAAATTATCTTTGGTTGCATTAGGACACGACAAAGAAAGAAAAAGGTTAGTCCACTGACATAAGTGTAATTCTTTTAAATTACTGATACCAGTAAATATTATCTGCTTCCAAATGTAGTGAACTTTTTAACTGCTGAGATTTCACAACAAAAGGGTCAATAAACTAATCCAGATGGAGATAAAAATGACCAGGATTGTCACATCAATCCAACAAACATAAAACACTGGATACATCTCTGTCACTCATTTCACGTATTTAACGTGTAAAATCTTAATTCTAAACATTAGCTTAACTCTGCTAATACTGCTGCATTTAACCGTTCCGATAATAAACGCGCACGAACCTCCAGGCTCATTGAAAGGTGTGCCCCCAAACTATTTCCTGTTCAAAAAGTCAAAGTTATATCTAATAGCTGGAGGAAACCGTTTTTTGAGCCCCTCAACCTCTCTGGGCAGGCACAATATCATACAGACTGAATAAAGGTTAATTGAATTCCGCATTTCAATGCGCTTCATTCGTGAGTCCCCAGAGGGCGCAGTCACACCACACAAAACTCTCCTGCCTGTACTTCAGAATGAGCTACAGAGAAAACTTGCAGACTAGCTTCACGTGGTCTAAACATTACAGCTCAAAGCTTTAAGAAGTAGACTACATTTATTTAGACGAGCATTACTTCTGGGAACACAGGCAGAAATAGGCTACATAGCAGGTTGAATGGAGTTGACTACATTTCCCGTCAGCCCCGTGGTGAGCGTCAATTTTCCCTTTTCAGCAGGGTTTTCTTGGTCCGCAGCTGGATCAGCTGGTTGGACGCTCCGCTGTGCGGCAGTCACTTTTTGGGGGGCGAAAAAGAACATTTGGTAGTTTTTATTGGACTTTTTCACCGGAAACGCTGGATTTGACTCCTGATTTTCACACAGTGTTCATAGTTACTTTCTTTCTTTTTATTTATATGATTTTAGCTGTAAGTGCCGATAAATTGGATTAAAGTATTTTATGATTTGAAAAGTTATATTTGATAGTCTCCTGGTAGTGAATGGCCTGGAGCTGTGCGAGCTCAGCAGCATCAGACTGTGGGTTTAGTTGGACTGAGGCTCCTGTGCCAACGCCTTTCCCCCCTCTCTCTCTCTCGGCTTCGCCCTGCGTTGGGGAACTTCAGCTCACGCCGAGCTCAGAGCTCGTTGGACGGTGTTTTCAACTTATGAGCTGCTGAAACCACAGTCCGTCGCCTAAGAATTAGTTTGAAGGAAAAAATGGGGTGCACGATCAGCGCCGAGGACAAAGCTGCGGTGGAGAGGAGTAAAATGATTGATAAAAACCTGCGAGAAGACAGAGACAAATCCTCCAAAGAAGTGAAACTACTTTTACTCGGTATGAACTTTATTTACAGTCTCTCTCTCTTTTTTTATGTACAGCAGATGTTGTGTCATCACACGACTGTATGAGAAGTCCACTTTTAATATTCACTTCTTTAGTGTGGGATCGTTTTAGGTTTTAGGTTGACTCCAAACACTCCTCCCTCCCCCTCCTCCTGTCAGCTTTAAGCAGCTGCGGCTCATCGCTTCTCCTCTTCCTTCAGAAGTAAACCAGATGTTGGTGGTGAGAGGGCAAATGCAAGTCCTTAGCCACCTCACTGGTTTTCAGTCTGTGTTGCATTGCTGAAATTGGGAGTACTTGCCCAGAGCTGACAAGTGTTGTCACTTGCCTCGGGTCTGTTTTACATCAGTGCTTACAGATTTAGAGCTGCAGGTAAAAGCTGGTCTGGGGTCAGTCTGTTCTGGTACTTGAGAACAAGTGCATTTAAAATGAATTGCATTGGAGCTTCTGAAAGAGCTGAGCTTGACATTATCACAAGTTCATGGACAAAAGTGTCCACCTGTGATGAGCTGTGCTGCACTGACAATCTGTGCATACAGCCTGCAGCCACACCAAGACTGATATGCCTGCATATGCAGTTAAATGAATGAGCAACCCAATCAGTTAATCCACTCATTATTTAAGGTCTGCATATTTTTAGTGTTCTTCACCTTAGTCATTTCTAAATGTAGTAATTTAACTTCTTTTAGAATCGTTTTGTCTTTAGCCAAAGCAGTTTGTTGCTGTGGTGAATTTCAGGCAGAGGATCCTGCCGACCACACAAAAAGTCAGGCCTTATCTTCACAGTGTGTGCAGATTTCAGCATGCTATAACTGTATGCTGTA